GAGTATGCAAAAGCAAGCAGGAATAAATGATGACTATAAGCATGCACATGAATAAGCCTATAAAACACAGTATTTGGCACAAAAAAGCCCCTCGCAGAGAAAAGACATACAGTATTATTCACTTAAGGATACCCCAAGGCAGATAAATATATGTTTAATAATATCTACAAAGACTACACAATGATAAAGAAAGTCAAGGGAATTATTAACACAAAATTCAAGATAATGGTCACTCTTAAAGGAATAAGAATAGAATGAAATGGGAAAGAACTGCATGAAGGCCTGTATGGTATTTGTATAATATTCTATTTCTTAAGTTGTGTGGTGGGGAATCAAGTAGTCACTTAATTATTAGTCTCTAAATTATATTGAACAATATGACTGATAAAGTGTTTAGATATATATACATTTCACAATAAAATTTTTTAAACTAAAAAAAAAAAGGAAAAATAATTCATTAACAAAAGGAATTAAAAACATATATCCAGAAGAAATAGGAGCTAACAATTACTGTATCAGGAGCTAACTGTATTAGGAATGGTTCTAAATGTTTTACATATATTATCTTTCATTCATTGTTTATAATAATCCTATGATACAGTACTGTTATTTGCCTCATCATTCAGATGAGAAAGCCAAGGCATAAAAAGCTTAAGTCAGTCCCCAAGGTCATACAATCATGCAGTGATTCAAGCCCTGGCAGGTTAAGTGCAGGTTTATCTATCCATAATACAAGGTTATGCATTTCCTAATAGAATAGACTTAAAAAATACACACACCCCAAAAGAAAAAATTCATATATGAGACATAAAAGGCAAATGAAAAATTGGACATATACACCATGTCCCTGATGAGTCTTCATATTTTAAAGGCTGACTTCTCCCTATATTAAATACACTTAACAAAATTCTAATAGAATTTTCTGGAGGCTAAGCACACAAGGGACATCTCACAGAAAACTAAGTACCGGTGAACCCTGTACTTCACAGGTTTGAACTGTGAAGGTCCACCTATATGTGGATTTTTTACATTTTATAGTACTGTAATTGTATTTTTTCTTATGACTTTAATAATAATTTTTCTCTAGCTTACTTTATTGTAAGACTACAGTACATAGCACATGTAACATACAGAATATGTTTTAGTTGACTGTTTATGTTCTCGGTAAGGCTTCCAGGGAAAGTAGGCTATTAGTAGTAAATTTGCAGGGGGCTGGGGAGTGGGGGGGGTGTGAGGGAAGTCAAAAGTTATACATGTATTTTTGACTACATGAGGCAGGGTGTTTAGCGCCTAAACTCCCTTGTTGTTTAGGGGTCAGCTGTATATGCATAAGAACCAAGATAACACTAAAGTAGAAAAATACCAAGGGGGCACCTGGGTGGCTCAGTCAGTTAAGTGTCCGACTCTTAATTTTGGCTCAGGTCAGGATCTCTTGGTTGTGGGATCTGAGCCCCATGTTGGGCTCTGCACTGAGCATAGAGCCTGCTTGGGATTCTGGGATTCTCTCATTCTCTCTCTCTCTCTCTCTTTCTGCACTCCTCACTCAAAACAATAAATTAAATTAAAATTAAAATTAAAAAAATAAAAATACTGAAAAGGGATTCATGCCACTAAATATTAAGCATATTAGTAAGTCATAAAAGCATTATGACATAAACAAAACAGAAAGAGAGCAATGGGGCAGAAAACAAAGCCCAGAATCTGACATAAGTGTATATAAGTATACTAATGAAAAGGAAAACATTTAAAATTACTGGGGGAAAAATGCATTATTCACTCAGTAGTGTTGGGACTAACCTAAAAAAAAAAAACCAAAAAAACCCACCAGAATTTTTTAGCTTGACTTCAATTTAAGAATGAAAAATAAAATTATAAAAATGCTGAAAGGAAGGGCACCTGGGTGGCTCAGACGATTTACATGTCCAACTTCAGCTCAGATCATGATCTCGCGGTTCATGAGTTCAAGCCCCACATCGGGCTCTGTGCTGACAGCTCAGAGCCTGGAGCCTGCTTCAGATTCTGTGTCTCCCTCTCTGTCCCTCCCCCGCTCATACTCTGTCTCTGCCTCTCTCAAAAATAAATAAACATTATAAAAAGAAAAATGCTGGGGGCGCCCAGGTGGCTCAGTCAGTTGAGCATCTGACTTTGGCTCAGGTCATGATCTCACAGTTCGTGAGTTTGAGCCCCATGTTGGGCTCTGTGCTCACAGCTCAGAGCCTGGAACCTGCTTCAGATTCTGTGTCTCCCCCTCTCTCTGCCCCATCCCTACTCATGCTCTGTTTCTGTCTTAAAATAAATAAATAAAACATTAACATTAAAAAAACTAAAAAACAAAAAATGCTGAAAGTAGACACAGGTACACACTTATGTTATATGGAGGAAGAAAAAATGTTCCACAATTTGATATCAAAGGCAGAACTAATAAACATTCACAGAAGAGAACACACAAAAATAAATTGTGACATATAAATTAAAAACATGCTATAAACTGAAAAAAGTATTTCACACAAAATGTAAAGAATGTCCTTCATAAATATTTTCTCCATATCAATAGTAAGAAACTAACCACTAATAGAAATGTATACCAGTCACACAATATAAGTGACAATAATAACATAGGAAAAATACCTCCATTTAACTAGTAATCCAAAAACTTAAAATTAAACAATGAGGTATCTACCACAGTTTTGCCTAAATACTAAATACTCAATGTTGTCAATGTGCAGAGAAAGCAGCCCTCAAATTGCTGGTCACAGTAAGTATAAAGTAAAATCTTTGGAATTTGACAATATACAATGAAAAACTTAAAAATGGAGGGGCGTCTGGGTGGCTCAGTTGGTTGAGCGTCCGACTTTGGCTCAGGTCATGATCTCATTGCTCGTGAGTTTGAACCCATGTCAGGCTCTGTGCTGACAGCTCAGAGCCTGGAGCCTGCTTCGGATTCTGTGTCTCCCTCTCTCTGCCCCTCCCCTGCTCACCCTGTGTCTCTCTTGTTCAAAAATAAACATTTAAAAAAAAATTTTTTTTTTTTTAACATTTTTTTTATTTTTTTTTTTCAACGTTTAT